TTATTCAAATAAGCCTATTTTTAAAAAAAAGCAGATGTTTTAGTATCGTTTTTGCTTCTTCTTCTGACTGACTCGTTTCAATCTTCAAATTAGAAGCAAATGCGAAGGAAATAGGGTAACAGAAAAAGAAATACCGTTTACTTCAGTGTCGTTATGTGTGATCAGAATTGACTTAAAACGCGAGTAACAATCTTGCGGATTGTAGTTGTCGCTTCCAATTTTCTCCGTTAAATAGATATAATTTAATACAGCATCTTCTCCATGACGATCTATTGCCTCTGAGTCAAGTATGTCAACTTGGATGTGTTTCATGCCACGGTTTTGGGTTACATCGAATAAAATTTCTGTGGTGAATATATAAAAGAAACGTTGTAAAAAACTGATGCTTGAGCTGGCAACGCTGTCTAATACTACGAGGTTTTTGTCAAGATATGCCACACAAACTTGGTTAAAGGTAATAAATTTACACAATTTCAAAATTAAAGAATTAAAAGTTATACAGAGCTTAAAAGCTAGGTATAAAACAATAATAGTTGCGATGTAAAAAAATACAATATTTAAAACAGAGTTGGAAAGAAACTGTACTCAACTGGTAGTTGTTTCAAATACTTATCGCCATTTACTTACCTTGTCAATAAGTATTTCAAAGTCATTTGCGCAACTTATCAACAAATCGAAAAAACAGTTGAAATGCCAATCAAAATTAAAGAACTTCTGCTGAACTTTAACTGTTTTGGAATGAGCAATTGAAAGTAAACGAAAAAAAATGCTTGAAAAATCACAGAGTTGTGGATGAGACGAGTATAAAATACAATGAGAAGAGGAACGGAAAAAATAAATAAAGAAACCGTTGTAATTTAGAGAGAAATTTGAAATACCTAGACGGTATTGGTTGGTTAACTGTAAGGTAAGTTAAAGATACTTTACAAAGTTTAATGTTCATGTTAAGGCTGAGTTCTGTAATAAACGAGTTGAGACAACCAAAAGCAGTTTTAAGTTTCGTGATCGAAACCGATTGGTCAATAAGATTATACAGTGTTACCTTAGCAGTATAAAAGTTCTATATCGAACCTTTAGAATAAAAGTGGCTATTGATTAAACCTGAATAAATTTTTACTGATAATTAAAAAAACGTCTGATTTAGTTACTCACCATCAACAAATTTTTCTTCTTCGTCACTCGTGAAGGTTAACAGATGACCACTGTATTTTTTCTCACAAAAAGAACTGGCTTCAGCAACATTCTTCCAAACTTTCTAAAAATTGCTCAGTATGTATTACCAAATTTTTCTACTTTACGCTTTAAATTTGTATGTAATTTATCTTTGCTGATTCATTGTTACTACAGTACCGTATATGCAGAAAACAAAAATTGTCAAATTACTGTTATAAGTAGTAGAAACTTTACGCACAAACAGTCTTAACACTGTGCTTAACCTGATGACTTTGTCGGTAGCTAAATGACTATTCTCAGCAACTGATTTCTCACATGAGAAATGTTTTTAATAAAAAACTAAAGAGTTTTATATTTAAGTTCGAGAAAAAATAATGATTTTGAGGAGAGCTGAAAATAGGTTTGGAGAATGGTACAAGATCAATGGTGATTATTTGGCTTGCTGCGAACATCTAATAAACAGATCAAGTTTTTCCATAATTTATGTTGTTTATTAGACAAAAGCTAAAAAACCAAACAACAATCTCGAGTAGCTGCTGCTATACAGATATGTTTCTAGTAAAATAAATGTTTGCTTGACAAAATTCTTACTTGTTTTTTTTAACTTGCTATCAATAAATTTCAACTGTTCGATGAGAAAGATTGTTTTTAATCACGAAATCAAATCGGTAAAAACAGAAGTTTTTATTATTTTAATTATAAAGAAAAATAAACACATAAAATGTGCTTATCCTTGTCAAGACCAGAGGACTCTAACTAGGCAAAATCTTATTTTATTTTCAGGCCACCTTTTTCTAAGTCTGAGATTGTGTTATAATAAGAAAACATGGCAAATTTTTTTTAAATTGCTAGGAACCTCAAAGCGTGTTTGACATGGCAAATAAGAATATCAAAAGACAACCTATTAAGCATCACTGACAACAACACCGAGACGACGATCGCAACAAAAAATTTTATACGAAATAAAATGAATACAATAAGATGAACAAATAACTTTCTGACGACTTCAGCTCGTTTTAGAGCAGTAATATTTGTAAATTTTTTGTGCTAAATGAATTAATAAAAATGTTTTAAGAACTTTAAATTTTATTTGGTTTAAACCTTTAAATCTTGAAAATCTTGTTCAAACAGTTAATATCTACAAAAATCCATTCTTTGCAAAAGTAGGAGGTAACATATGGATGTTTTTCAATAATGCTAGCTACGGTTCTAGCATAAGAGTACGTAAACTGGTAACTGTAAAAGAATTTTTTCTTCTTACGCTATTCTCTACTTTTTTATTGGTTTTACAAGTTCTTTTCTTGTTTAAAAAGTTTAACCACTTATCTAGCAAATGAGGAAAGATTTTAGGAATCAAGCCGGGTATGAAAAATTTGACAAACTATGTAACAACACAGTTTAAAAGTTTTTTGTCAAATAAGACACTTCTAAAAGACAATTTAAACATTTTTTGCATTATACTTTGATAAAAGAGTCTTTTTTTAATAAAAAAAAAACAGAGAGAACAATTTTCTTCAGTTTTACAGTTTTAGTATTTCAACTTTTTGCTTCTTCTTAGTGCATAATACTCAAAAGTTGGTCTTTGTAAAGAAGTAATACTTGCAGCACCGTTATACCTTTTTTTTTTTTATTATTTCTGTTGCCTATTTTACAGTAAATTCTGCTTCATATATCTGTGTGCTCATTCACATTCAGAAGCTTTCTAGCAAAAATAAATCTGGCTTCACAAAGACCATACTAATTTTTGTTAAAATTTGACTCACTACATTTTTTTTAGCAGTTTAAAACTGGTATATTTTATTTTAATTTTTTTTGAGTAGAAGTGAGTGATGTCACAGTTACGCAAACCAACCACAAAACTGTGTTGTAAAACCTACGTTTTAAGAAAGATTACACTGCAAGCTAAAAATTGGTCTGACAGTATGTCTAGACCCAGCTTCAAACTAAAATTCAATTTAAAAATTATAAAGAAATGTAAAGCCGAATCTTATAAACAGATTTTTATTACAAATCTATAGAAACTAAGACACCGAAAGAAGAGTAAACCCTTCCAAAGTAAACATTTTCAGTAGTAAATTTTAGATTTGTTGAAATTATTGTGTTCTTTCTCTAATTACAGTAGCTTTTGCTATGAAAAGCTACAAGTAATCGAATATGACTGTAATACAATTCATAGCAAAAGAAAACCTACGAAGTAATCAACAAGAACTTCCACAATCTTTACACTTCCTTGAATAGTAAAGAAATCGACACCATGAAAGTCTTCTGGTGCGGGATAATCAGTCGAATGATATCCGTCTTTATAAACCTAAAAACTTTAATAATGACAACTTTATGTTTGGCAATCAAAAATATTTTCAAAAAGAAAAAAATCAAAAATTTCAGTAGTTTTTACTAGACCTTTAAATGCTCCGAAAGCACAACGATGTGCGCTGTTAGGAAACTGTTACTTCCTTCTGAAAAATTTTCGGTAGTATCTGTTTCATTTTTTGATTCCCAATCATTTGTTTCATGACTGCTTCTTTTTTTCACATTTTTTGCAGTTTTGATTTTTGAAATATCAGGCGTACTTTTCTTGGAATCTTTTGAATTTTTTGCTTGAGGATCAACTTCGTTGTATCTTCTACTCTTATTGATTTCTTCAACGTCCGTATCTTTTTTTCTTCTCTTTATCAGCACTCTGCTTTTGGTGTCACTGCTTGTCTTGACATTTTTTTTAAAGCGAGTAAATTTTCCGGTGATTCCGTCACCAACCAGTAAAAATATTTTCTCTTTCCCTTTTTCCTGACTACCATTTTTGGTATAACCTTTTCCCTTCACTTGTTTCCCAGAAGCCTCATGTCCTCTATGCTGACCTTCCCCTTCGTTGGTAGCACTGAGCCGAGAAGTTTCATTATGTTTGTTTTCCGTTTCATTGATGGAAGATATCATTGTAATACCAGCATTTTCGGTGCTGTTCTGAGGAGTAGTCGAACTGAGCGCAGTGCCTTTATGCGGATGTTTCCGACAGGATGTGGTTCCTGTAGTGCCTTCGCATCCCTCTGACTCGGATTTTTCCACTAATTCTTTTACAGACTTGATAGCACTTTGGCCGGCCATTCTCTTTGAAGTGACTCTGTCAAACGCCCTAGTAATGCAAAGTATTTATTATTTATTATTTGTTATTTTTATATTAATATTATTATTATTATGGTTATTATTATTATCATTATCACTATTATTATTCTTGTTGTTATTTTTAATGTTGCTATTTTTATTATTCTTGTTATTATTTATTATTTATTACCTATTATTTATTATTTGTTGTTCATTATCTGTTATTCGTTCATTAATAATACTCATATATCTATCAATATTAATATTAATATTAATATTATTATTGTTATTGTTATTATCATTATCACTATTATTTTTACTGGTTTTAGTAATAATTAGTAGTACATTGGGATCTGTTTCATTTTTATTTTTTCAATACAGTTATAATATTCTACTCGCATTTCTTTTTTGATCTTGCTTTTATTGAAGATGTTAAAAGACCAGCATGTACAGGCGTATTAATTAGATTAAATAACAAGAGCATTGAATTCAAACCATGTTAAGTGTATGCGAAAAAGCACTATTTCTTTTTCTCTGTTACCGTTGTTGTTTTCTTTTTGAGCCTCGAATTTCCCGAGTTCTATCACTGCAGAAAAGTTCGTGCTAGGGCTCGCTGGTTTCATGAGAATGATAAGAACACTTCCTGGCAACAATTCAAGCGGTAGTTTTTTCTTGTATTTATTGTCGTTTACCAAAATTTCTTCAGAAATCTGTAACTTATCTTCATAAATTCATCTAAAAGACGCTATATCTTTCAAGTTGAATTTTACTACTGACTGTGACCATAGTGTGTTCTTAGTTAAAGCATAAACCGCACTAATTTTTCAAATTTTTTGATATAAAACTTTTTGGTTTTAGTTTAAATGTTTCATCGCAGAAAATGACCATTGATGATGCTAATATTTAATTCACTTTTAAGTCAAATTTCATTACAGAAAAATTTCTGTGCGGTATTATTTAAGTATGTTATATATGAAATAAAATCTGTGTAAAAACAGAAGCAGCCTCTTACCAAGTTTGTAGGTTCGGTTCGATTTTGGCTAAAAGTGATATCGCTTACGAAGTCTGATTGTCGCAGAAACTTCTAAACTTCGCCTTAAATTGTTTTTAGTAATTCATTTAGGTTTATCAACAGGGTATTGACCTCTAGTTGTGAAATTTTTTGGCGGTATCTTTTTTATTACTTATTGTTATTTTATAAATCTGTCAACCACCTAAAATTCCAGATATTTTTTGCTACTGTTCGGGTGTAAATCAGCTCGTTTTTCTCAATATTGGCTGACTTTCTGTACGGTCTCTTTTTGAAATAAGTATTCAAAACCAATTCCGATTGTTTGGAACTCTATAAAAGTAATCGTAAAGATATAGTGAAAACAGCAATTAGGAAACCCACATTTATAATGTGATAACAGACTACGCGTTCTGGGCGCTCAAAGTATCCCATGTTACCGTTTACGCACGGAGACGCTATAAGTTCAGTAATTGTATTAAGTTTTAACATTTTGTAACAAGTTGATTTTGTCTTATTAATGATTTTAAATGTTACGATATAATACCTATATTTATTTCTTTCCCTTTTGCTTTAAAAAGTAAGACGTTTTTGGATAGTTATAGGCTAGGATTGCACGCCTAGCTTATTGCATACATAACTGGGTTTCCTATCCTTTACTCCTTCATTCAAAAGTAGATATGCTTTTCTGTATGTTACAATACAAGCTTTATAGTTGTTAGCTAAATGACCACTCTATAAATCTTTAAGATCAGCAAACTCATCTGGTTACAATTAACATTAACATTTTTTCTGAAAAAATAAAACATTTCTTATTAGTTAATTTTTGCTAAAAGTACTATCAGTCTTATTTGAGCGCAAATCTTTTCATGAAGGTAAATTTTACAGACGTAAATATACAGTTGATAGTTTAACAACAACATTAATGCTATAATGATAGAAGGTTTTGATAACTCTGAGAACTTAGAGAAAAATTACAAAAGGTTTTCGCGCGTTTTTGGTTACTGCAAGGTCTATTACAAAGACAATTCAAACTTTCTGCGGAAGATTGGTAGAGCAGAAATCCAAGAACTGAGTTGGAAATTGCGGATTTCTGCTTTAAGAATCTTCACTTTTTTTTTTTTTTTT